TTTTCTCTACTATTAGAATGACTAGAGTACTTAAGGGGAAAAAAATGAACACACCCAACTCCTAAAATTTCACACCTTATGTTTCAGGAAGCATGCGAGCACATAAATTTACTAAAAGGGCTAACGTTAGGTTTCGAGTTACGGTTGACTAACCTGGTTTGGTGACGGATGTCACACTACCCATGGGAAGGAGGAACGAAATACATTGAAAATAGACAAACGCAAGAGACAGGAACCGACTAAATAAATTTAAAAACGCAATCTGTTAAAATGTATAAAATTTAGAGACAGAGATCGAACTTTACTTGTTTAAAAAACACAAACACCAAAATTCAGGGACAATAAAACATCGTGTAGTCTTAAATAATAGTAAGTTTTAGCAATGTTCTAAAAAACACGCGCCTCGATGCCACGTTAACCCCCTTGGCATGGATATAACTTATGGGTGCTCATGGGTTGAGTTGATCGAGTTGAAGACATATGAAAAACCCAACCTAATGCTTGCAGTTTGAAAATTCTTAACCCAACCCAAACCAAAGTGCAACCCTATCCAACCCAACCCGTACGGGTTGGTCGGGTTGATACTTTGGCACATTAAAATATTTTTCTAAGCTTGAATATGCTATTTCTTTACTCATAATTTTTTTTCATCATCAACCATTTGATACAACGTATCCCTACTTCTTACGTATATCATATTCAATTAATTTTCTCAATTTATGAGCTTGCATCATTAATGAATCGTGTTTCAATGATCACAAATTCATAAGTTATAACAACATCATCACCAAAAAGATATATCAGGTACTCAAGCTGATGTACGTTTGATTCATATAGTTAAGTATATCAGATAAGAAATTGATACTTAATTTTGATCTCGTACATTGTACATGCCCTTACATGCTGTAGAAAAATTTACCAATGAACTTAGCTTACCTGATTGATCTTATCTACAACAATATCCAAAATGAATCTTATATTAATGCAAATATATCATAAAGCCGCTTTTAGATTATAAACAGTAACACAACATCATGATTATGTCGGCAAAATACATTATGTAGGTAATAAGACATAATGTAGGTAATCATACTTTGACATATTAGCATATAGCGTATACATGAAATTATTGGCTAATGACATATTAGTTGTTGATTCTGCTGATGAAATTGGTTTCATTAGTTTTGACCATGTCAACTATTTATATCTGTCTATATTAATATTTCGAGTGATCTAGAAAATAATTAATTCATATTAATCAGAATAAAATTGTATAAGATGATCAAGAAAAGGCGACCACGTCCTTAACTATGTATGAATCTATTTTCATTTAGTATCTGGCGTCATTGGTACTTATATACTCATGTGTATTCCCTCTAAATTAGGCATACCATCCACTTCTCCTACCAAAAGCAAAACTTTTTCCGTTTGTCTAATTCATATTCTTCATCTGAAATTGCTAATGCTCCTGCTACTTCTACTTCTACTGCAACTGCTACTGCTACGGATAATGCTACTCCTAATGCTATTGCTACTGCTAATGCTACTATTACTGGTACTTCATTATGAATATGTCTTCAACAAATTTGTATCTGGTTTCATCAGTACCTATATACTAATTGTGGATTCCCTCTAAACTGATTCTGCTACTGCTATTGTTTCATTCGTTCATCCATTGATTCCATCAACTATGTATGAATATATTTGGAAATCATTGCTACTGCTACTGGTTTCATTAGTTATTCATTTATTGTAATCTCTTAGCACCATTTGTAATCACTTAGCATCCTGATTCTGATGCATCTGGTTTCATAATTTGGTTTATGCAGATTATGAACAAATACACAAGCACAATTTGTAATCTCTTAGCATTTTTTGTAATCTATTAGCATCCTTATGCTGATTATGAACAACTTCTTCCATATGAATTTACGTGATGCATCTGGTTTCATCTTCCAGGTTTATGCAGATTATGAACAACTTATTCCATAACCAAATACGTGATGAATCTGGTTTCATTGTTCTGTATTATGCAGGTTATGAAGAAGTTCTTCCAGATGCATCTTCGTGCAATCAAATACACAATTAACCATAACAAAACATATCTTGCAGATTTTTTAATAATCTGCATTATGAATAAGAAACATACATTGTCTTTCGGGTTTCATTACAGATTTACATTAATCCTTATGAATAATCTGCATTTGATTAYTMTAACAAAACADATTTTTGACMCCACATCATCTTTCGGGTTTCATTACAGATTTACATATCTTGCACCACTTACTATAACAAAACAGTACCTTCATTTTCATTACTCAAAGACGGAACATCATCATCGTCAAACTCAGCAGAAACTCCGTCCGTAATCGAGTCACTATGCTCAGGTATTGTTTCATTTTGACGAATGCACCCATCWTCATCCCTAGCTGAGTAATTGCATTTATCTTGTGTTGTACCATCATTAGTACCGTTACGTTTACCGTTAATGCCATCCATTTCATCAAAAATATCCTTGACGAATGTCTCGTTGAAGGAGATGGGATCCATAGGATTATGATGAAATATTATTCTAAAAAATGCTTCCATCGATTCATCATTATTGTTAATAGAAAATTATTATTTAATAATGTTTTAATTACCATATCAGTTTCAGTTATTAATAGAAAATATATGGATTCATAATTAATAGGATATTTATTGATATTATTTAAAAATAATAATTATTATATAAAATTAGCAAATAACAATATTAACCTTTTCATTTAAAAAATAAATTAAAACAAACAAAATTCAT